GTTTTAAATTCAAGAATTTATAAATTCTTACTCACTAATTTACAATAAGTTACTCGATAACCATTTACAGATTTCTAGACACCAATTACAATATTATTGAGTAGAGGCGAGTCTTTTAAGCGTATCAGTTGACGCTTAATGAATGCCCAAAACGTAATAGACCTACGCAGGTGACAGGTATTTTCGGTGTGGTACTGAGGGTGTCATCCTTCCTCCACCAAAACTTTTTGCATTATCTGTTAGGTGTGAACCCTCGTCTCTCTGTTTATTATTATTTTAACAGCATAAAACATGGCCTTGACAGTAGCCTGTGAGACTTTTCCATTTGGCGTCATACCTTAATGGTGTCACCCCCAAATGGTGTTCCTCCTAAATGGTGTCACTCTTAAATGGTGTCACCCCTAAATGGTGTCACTCTTAAATGGTGTCACCCCCAAATGGTGTTCCTCCTAAATGGTGTCACTCTTAAATGGTGTCACCCCTAAATGGTGTCACCCCTAAATGGTGTCGCCCCTAAATGGTGTCGCCCCTAAATGGTGTCGCCCCTAAATGGTGTCACCCCTAAATGGTGTCACCCCTAAATGGTGTCACCCCTAAATGGTGTCACCCCTAAATGGTGTCACCCCTAAATGGTGTCGCCCCTAAATGGTGTCACTCCTAAATGGTATCACTCCTAAATGGTGTCGCCCCTAAATGGTGTCACTCCTAAATGGTGTCACCCCTAAATGGTGTTACCCGGAGTGCAATGACCCCCCCCCCCCACACACACACACACTCAATCCCGGACCTTTTAAGGTTAGTGGACTTACCACTATGAAGTAGGAATCTGCAACCAACTACATGCGTTATTAGCGAACTGAGTTCAGCATTGAGATTGACATCCAAATGAAAGACACTTGTGGCATTTGCGAAAGCTACACAGTTGTTTCAATAACCTAAATCTACGCCTAGATATGCTCAATTTTGAAGGATATATGTATCCAACTGTAAGCTTTGTTGACTAAATAGAAAAGAGCCTAAATCTTTAGACAACAGCAGATTGAAAATATCAGCCTAACAAGTATTAATTGCAAATTTTAAAGTTATTAAATTAATCTTTAAACGTATATACAAGTAATATTTCAAGTTTAAAAATGCGAACTTTGTTCATATATATATATATATATATATATATATATATATATATATATATATATATATATATATATATATATATATATATATATATATATATATATATATATATATATATATATATATATATATATATATATATATACATATATATATATACATATATATATATATATATATACATATATATATATATATACATATATATATATATATATACATATATATATATATACATATATATATATATATATATATATATATATATATATATATAATATATATATATATATATATATATATATATATATATATATATATATATATATATGTATATATCGCCACTGATGACACAATCTTACCCACGCTTCTGTCCTTAACACAACATCCAAACTCTAACCCTACATTATTCTTTTAGCCTTATCCTAACCATCCACTAAAACCTAACTCACGCTGACTGTCTTATTGACAGGTATAAGCCTTTAAACACTTAGTTCACCAAATAAGCAGGTGCGCTCAGCCTATAGCAAGATGGATATGTCCTCTTGTTCAGAACAGAAACTTAGATGAGCACAGCTGGTGGAGAGTTGTTTGACCTACGGTGCATTCATTAATTAAAGTATTTGGCCTAGATTAAGGTTAAGACTGCGTGTTACACTTAACAAAATGACAGTGACAATCGATACATCGTTTTTTTTTATGTAAACTAAACTCTACCACAAAGGTGATTGAAATTGAATTGTTTCTGTTTTTCTATTTTCTAATCGGTTGTTTGTTTCATAGTATCACTGCGTGTCTTTACATAAGTTGATGATGTGAAATTAGGGTTAACATAACTCAGTACACAACCCTTCACGAATGTCAAATGTCATGTCACAGACTGTCATTGACAATGACCAGTCCATTTAAGACATGTGTCAGCTTTCTATTAATACGAGGATTGTATTTGGTGCGACATCATGCATTGTTCTGCTGTCAAACGTTTAGATGCATTGTGGGTGACAGATACGATTAACCTGAACGACACCTGACGCAAGTAAACTCAATCAGCCACAACCTGCCACAGGTAGGCACAATCAGCCACAGCCTTTCACAGGTAGACACAATCAGTCTACACAACCTGTCACAGGTAGACACAATCAGTCACAACCTGTCACAGGTAGACACAATCAGTCACAACCTGTCACAGGTAGACACAATCAGCCACAACCTGTCACAGGTAGACAATCAGTCACAGTTTGTCACAGGTAGACCCAGTCACAACCTGCCACAGGTAGACTCAATCAGCCACAACCTGCCACAGGTAGACTGAATCAGCCACAACCTGCCACAGGTAGACTCAATCAGCCACAACCTGTCACAGGTAGACTCAGCCACAACCTGCCACAGGTAGACTCAACCACAACCTGCCACAGGTAGACTCAACCACAACCTGCCACAGGTAGACTCAGCCACAACCTGCCACACTCAAAACGCCCAGAATTTGTTACAGCCCACCCCTTTTTCCGCACCCCCACACAACTCCTCACTCCCCCCCCCCCTTAAAAAAGAACCCACGTGCCACAATGATAGTCGGCTTCCTTTGGACAGGCTTTGAATGGAAGCTGCTTATCTCCAACAACAAACTCTCTACAGATACAGATAATCTCAGATTAAGAAAACACCGCTATTACTGTGTGTTCTACATTTGTAATGTATATAAATATTTTTCCATAAATTTCTACATATTCATACATGTTGTTATTGTGTATTTAGTGTATAACGTTCGGGCACAACTTATATAATACATGTCTCAATTTTCTTGTCAAATTATTAACGCATGATCCTTTATAAATTAGTTTTTGTCCAGAAATTTTTCCACATAGATTGAGGTAAAGAATAATAAGATCTGTTCAGTCCATCATGTGCTATGCGTATCTCGTCAATATCTTAATCATCATATGATTATTCAGATTATGCCATTATCTAATGAGATGACAAACGGGGGGGGGGGGGGGGGGGGGGGGGTGGTATTTTTACTTGCGATTCCGTGTTTTGTTCTGAATATCTAAAAAAATTACTTTTCAAAAGTCTGATAGTTTCACATTACACTGTGATTTACTTGTGTGATGTGATATACATAGTAAAGTAGTGGCGTCACTAGGTATTTTGTCATTCAGTGTTTTAACTTATGGTCTAACCCCACCATCCCATGCAGAGTTTCTTCCAGCCATCTCTTCGGGGGAAAGAGGGTGGGGGCTCAGCCCCCTAGAAGAAAATCTACCGCCCCCCCCCCCTCTCCGTCTGGGCACTTATATAAAAATGTATACTTTTCACAGTGTCCACCCCCCCCCCAAACGTTAGTCCGCCGCCCCCCCCCCCCCCCCGGAAAATTTCAAGTGCCTCCCCCCCCCCCCCCTTCCCGGGAGAAAACAATCTGTAAGAAACACTGATGCCGTGGTAGTGTAGGCATGGTTAACTAATCGCTGTTAGCCAATACAAATACACAGTGTTTTATTTTTTTCAATATTTATTTTTCATTTTTGTGTCACCCGCGTAAATAATACCCGCCCTGCAACGCTTCTAAAAAGTATTTGACGTCTAATTTTACTGATGTAATTAGGCAATATCTGGTACAATACCCTAAAAAAATTTCTCTCATAATTCTTCACTTGTTTTATTTATTTTTTAGGGCATTACCGTTTATAGGCACGCACACTTTAGTTTTAAAACACTGCAGTAAAAAGCGCAACGCTTTCAACTTTAAAAAGTTTTACTTTTTTTGAACATTTAAAATACCGGAAGAGTATGCCACATCAAACTTTACCTGTAGATCTTACAAACAATCACGGTAATGTGATCATGATAGAATAGGATCATTTTGTAAACATTATTATCATGTCTCCGAGTAAACAAAACATTTAAGTTCTTCTACATTTGCTGAAGACATTATCCGTTTAAGTTGGCAATAGGTTAACTTTAGATTATAAATTATTTAAATATTAAGTACAATTGTATGCTAGATTTAAAATAATCTAAATCTATTTGATCTAGTCAGCCGATGTCTACTTGGGAGATACATTTAATAATGTTTCTAATCAACGAAAACAGTTTGGGTATTCTAGAATGGGAAATTTGTACTTCTAAAAGAAACATTTACTGACTTTTTTGAGAAATCAGAAATATCGTAAAGTACTACAAACGGTCACCGGAAATCAATAACAATTTGACAGAAAACAGCGAATAAGATAATAAAGCCTACCTATGAATGAAATTTCGTTTAGCTCAAAAATTGAAAATTATCCAAGTATAAGATTTTTACATAAATTATGAAATCCTTTATGGAACTGAAACAGTTCTGATATTATCGTGTTCCCAAGGAAATAAAGTAAAGTACCATTTCCGACTCCCGGTAAAATAAACCTGCGCATACAATTTAATAGGCCTAGAAGTTCGCAAAATTTCGTCTAACTAACATGAATAGTATCCGCGTTTGAGAGACCGGATGTAAACTAAATACCACTTTTGGTCACCGGAAATCGCTCAAAAGCTGAAAGAAAACTACACATTTGATATATTACCTATATTTAAACATTGGTCAGCATAACGAAAACGGTTCTCAAGATATCTCGTTTACAGACACACACACACACAGACAGGAAGGATTGCAAAAATTAGTTTTTTTTGCACCGGGGAGATGTGAAACGTAAATATTTGTCAAAATCACGATTTAGATTTTTTTTCACAATTATAATACACACTTTATGTTCCGTGTACAAAAAAAAAGTATGGAGGTGCAAATCTGCGAAAAACGGTCAAAATTTCATATACCTTGTGTGCACGATTACAATACCTTCTCTCTATTCCGTATACGTACCTGACAGTTCCGGAGCTGCCATGTCCGTAGAAGAGCTGGTGAAGAAGAGCAGTGAAGCCAAGAAACATTCGTACTCACCCTACAGCAAGTTCCGGGTTGGCGCGGCGGTAATGACCACAGAAGGCAAAATATTCACAGGTAGTTCTCATATTTTCTTCATACCTTTATTTATAATAGTGACCACAGGCGGCAAAATATTCACAGGTAGTTCTCATATTTTCTTGATACCTTTATTTATAATAGTGACCACAGGCGGCAAAATATTCACAGGTAGTTCTCATATTTTCTTGATACCTTTATTTATAATAGTGACCACAGGCGGCAAAATATTCACAGGTAGTTCTCATATTTTCTTGATACCTTTATTTATAATCGTGACCACAGAAGGCAAAAAATTCACAGGTAGTTCTCATATTTTCTTCATACCTTTATTTATAATCGTGACCACAGACGGCAAAATATTCACAGGTAGTTCTCATATTTTCTTCATACCTTTATTTATAATCGTGACGACAGACGGCAAAATATTCACAGGTAGTTCTCATATTTTTTTTATACCTTTATTTATAATCGTACCACAGGTGGCAAAATATTCACAGGTAGTTCTCATATTTTTTTATACCTTTATTTATAATCGTACCACTGACGGCAAAATATTCACAGGTAGATCTCATATTTTCTAGATACCCTTATTTATAATCGTGCCACAGACGGCAGAATATTCACAGGTAGTTCTCATATTTTTTTATACCTTTATTTATAATCGTGACCACTGACGGCAAAATATTCACAGGTAGATCTCATATTTTTTATACCTTTATTTATAATCGTGACCACAGACGGCAAAATATTCACAGGTAGTTCTCATATTTTTTATACCTTTATTTATAATCGTGACCACAGACGGCAAAATATTTACAGGTAGATCTCATATTTTTTATACCTTTATTTATAATCGTGACCACAGACGGCAAAATATTCACAGGTAGTTCTCATATTTTTTATACCTTTATTTATAATCGTGACCACAGACGGCAGAATATTCACAGGTAGTTCTCATATTTTTTTATACCTTTATTTATAATCGTGACCACAGACGGTAAAATATTTACAGGTAGTTCTCATATTTTTTTATACCTTTATTTATAATCGTGACCACAGACGGCAAAATATTCACAGGTAGTTCTCATATTTTTTATACCTTTATTTATAATCGTGACCACAGACGGCAAAATATTCACAGGTAGTTCTCATATTTTTTATACCTTTATTTATAATCGTGACCACAGACGGCAAAATATTCACAGGTAGTTCTCATATTTTTTTATACCTTTATTTATAATCGTGACCACAGACGGCAAAATATTCACAGGTAGTTCTCATATTTTTTATACCTTTATTTATAATCGTGACCACAGACGGCAAAATATTTACAGGTAGTTCTCATATTTTTTATACCTTTATTTATAATCGTGCCACAGACGGCAGAATATTCACAGGTAGTTCTCATATTTTTTTATACCTTTATTTATAATCGTGACCACAGACGGTAAAATATTCACAGGTAGTTCTCATATTTTTTTATACCTTTATTTATAATCGTGACCACAGACGGCAAAATATTCACAGGTAGTTCTCATATTTTTTATACCTTTATTTATAATCGTGACCACAGACGGCAAAATATTTACAGGTAAATCTCATATTTTCTTGATACCTCTCTAAGGTAGATCTAATGTCTTCGTGATACATTTTCAAGGCCACAGTTCTAACTTGTCTGAGATTTAGCAGTGCCGTATGCATTATTAATGTGCAGATGCCTTTAAACCCTCCTACTAAACTTTTTAAAGTCCTGTCCTCTATTTAAGACTGTTAAGTATAATGATGCCATTTTACCCCTCTCCATAAACTTTCTATGCCCTAACTTCTATTAAAGTCTATAGCATATGAAGATGCCCCTTACCCCTCTCAGTAAACTATTTATGCCCTAACTTCTATTAAAGTCTATAGCATATGAAGATGCCCCTTACCCCTCTCAGTAAACTTTCTATGCCCTAACTTCTATTAGTCTATAGCATATGAAGATGCCCCTTACCCCTCTCAGTAAACTTTCTATGCCCTAACTTCTATTAGTCTATAGCATATGAAGATGCCCCTTACCCCTCTCAGTAAACTTTCTATGCCCTAACTTCTATTAGTCTATAGCATATGAAGATGCCCCTTACCCCTCTCAGTAAACTTTCTATGCCCTAACTTCTATTAGTCTATAGCATATGAAGATGCCCCTTACCCCTCTCAGTAAACTTTCTATGCCCTAACTTCTATTAGTCTATAGCATATGAAGATGCCCCTTACCCCTCTCAGTAAACTTTCTATGCCCTAACTTCTATTAGTCTATAGCATATGAAGATGCCCCTTACCCCTCTCAGTAAACTTTCTATGCCCTAACTTCTATTAGTCTATAGCATATGAAGATGCCCCTTACCCCTCTCAGTAAACTTTCTATGCCCTAACTTCTATTAGTCTATAGCATATGAAGATGCCCCTTACCCCTCTCAGTAAACTTTCTATGCCCTAACTTCTATTAGTCTATAGCATATGAAGATGCCCCTTACCCCTCTCAGTAAACTTTCTATGCCCTAACTTCTATTAGTCTATAGCATATGAAGATGCCCCTTACCCCTCTCAGTAAACTTTCTATGCCCTAACTTCTATTAGTCTATAGCATATGAAGATGCCCCTTACCCCTCTCAGTAAACTTTCTATGCCCTAACTTCTATTAGTCTATAGCATATGAAGATGCCCCTTACCCCTCTCAGTAAACTTTCTATGCCCTAACTTCTATTAGTCTATAGCATATGAAGATGCCCCTTACCCCTCTCAGTAAACTTTCTATGCCCTAACTTCTATTAGTCTATAGCATATGAAGATGCCCCTTTACCCTCTCAGTAAACTTTGTATGCCCTAACTTCTATTAGTCTATAGCATATGAAGATGCCCCTTACCCCTCTCAGTAAACTTTCTATGCCCTAACTTCTATTAGTCTATAGCATATGAAGATGCCCCTTACCCCTCTCAGTAAACTTTCTATGCCCTAACTTCTATTAGTCTATAGCATATGAAGATGCCCCTTACCCCTCTCAGTAAACTTTCTATGCCCTAACTTCTATTTGTCTATAGCAGAGGTCTCCAAACTTTTTAGTCCGAGGGCCGCATCAACTATCAAATTTCAGTTCGGGGGCCAGTTAGTTCCAGACATGTCTTTGATTTTTCTGGAGAAAGTTCCTCAGCCATCACCAACAAACGTTTTTTTGTGGACAAAAAGATCTCCGCGGGCCGGATGAGAGGACATCGCGGGCCGCATACGGCCCGCGGGCCGTAGTTTGGAGACCCCTGGTCTATAGCATATGAAGATGCCCCTTAACCCTCTCAGTAAACGTCCTATACCTTGACTTTTATTTCAGGCTGTAATGTGGAGAACGCCTCTTATGGTCTGTCGATCTGTGCTGAAAGGACGGCCATAGTGAAGGCCGTGTCTGAAGGTTGTAAAGAAATAAAAGCCATCGCAGTCGCCACGTAAGTTTGTGGAACTCTATATAGAAATGTAATGGGTGATTTGTCTTCACGCTCACTCGCACGTGCATACACTCGCACACGAACACGCTCGCACACGAATACGCTCGCATACGAACACACTCGCACACGAAGACACTCGCACACGAACACACTCGCACACGAACACACTCGCACACGAACACACTCGCACACGAACCCACTCGCACACGAACACACTCGCACACGAACACACTCGCACACGAACACACTCGCACACGAACACACTCGCACATGAACGCACACGAACACACTCGCTTACGGACACACTCGCACGCGAACACACTCGCACACAAACACACTTGCACACGAACACACTCGCACACTCTCACACTCTCGTCCACATTCTCACTTATATGTACATACACTCAAATACACACATGCAATGTATGTAATTTTGTGACTCATTTACTGCGGGCACATAACATGTTACCACTCTTGATTAAAGTATGTTTTTCTTCCTCCTTTTTTAGAGATATGGACGATTACGTCACACCCTGTGGAGCTTGTAGACAATTTTTACTAGAGGCAAGTTCAAAACGTTTCCAGTTCAAACTAAATCGATTTCTTATATAAAAAATATAGAACTTCACCAACATAAATATTTGCCAATCTGGCAATCCTGTTATGAAAACTTACTGAATGAGTTTGGCTGACGATTGTCAACACGATGTTAAAATGGGCTACAGGACATTACCCCTCCCGGACTTCCCCCCCCCCGTATTTTCTCTCCGGAACAATTACCCCCCCCCTCTGACAATTACCCCCTGTTAGTTGGGAATTACCCCCCCCCCCCCCACCCCCTCTCAAGTTAGAATACTAACTCTAACTAGAATTCTATACCTATATACTACTTTAATCCAAACCTTAAGAAAAAGACCAAAACATAAGCATCCGCCTTAGCCTAAAACTTCACACAAAACCAAAACCAACGCTAGACACAACCCTAACTCTAACCCTAGCCCTTGCCCTAAACCTAGCCTTAACCTTAACCCTAATCCTAATCCTAACCCTAATCCTAACCCTAATCTTAACCCTAACCCTAGCCCTAGCCATAGCCATAGCCCTAGCCCTAAACCTAGCCCTAGCCCTAAACCTAGCCCTAAACCTAGCCCTAACCCTAACCTTAACCTTAGCCCTAAACCTAGTCCTAACCCTAACTCTAACCCTGTCCGGGGGGGGGGGGGTAATGTCCTACTGGGCGGGGGGTAATTGACAGGGGGGATAATTACTCCGGGGGGTAATGTCGGGGGTGAAATGTCCGGGGGGTAATTGACAGGGGGGAAATGCCCTGTTCCCGTTGAAATGTTGTGTTTAATACAAGGCTGAGTGCACCTTACGGGTTGTTTAGTATCTATTTTTAGAAGCCTTGAGTTTGATTCACACCTTGTTGTGGGCGCTACGAGTGAGTAAATATCAAAGGTACATAATAAAGGGGGCCGGTGACGTAACAACACACCTGGTGTGTGTAAAAAAATATTCAAGGGACATAACTTGTTGATTTAAAAAAAAACGACACAATAATTTGGCTGTGAATTTGTTAACAAAAAAAAAACATTTGTAAAACTCCAACAGTGATAATTTTTTAGAACATGCACACTTCTACACTTAAAACTGCAACATGTAGGCCCTATATTCCGATGCTTTAGTCACTTGAGTAAGGACGTCTAGGTAGTCTGTTGGATGGAGAGTTTTCCTTAGGCGCGTTACCCAGACCTAAACGCCGAACCTTGTAATAGCCCTCACACTAACCAACCACCAAGACCAAATCATGAACTTATCCAGTCATTATGCCCATCCCTAAACATATCCAGGACTCTATCACTGACGCCTATCCTTACCCTAACTCATGAGAAGAGCCTTAACCCCCCCCCCCCCCCCCCCCCCGTTAAAAGTACACAAACAGGAAAATGCACAAACAGAATAATGCGCACGCAAAGCTAACGTTTTTGTTCTGTTTGCGCATTTTTCGTCTCCACCCCTCCCCACATATATAGAGAATATACTTTGACAATTGACCCCCCTCCCCCTTACGGAATTTCAAGCGCCCTTCCACCCCCACCCCCCTACCGACGTAACCGGGAGCAAAATGTCTGGATGTCTGAAAGATAGAAACCGTGTTTACCTAATTAGTTAATTGCTCATCACTATCACGTGTCAACTAGTGTACCATCTTCTGTTCACAGTTCGGCGATGACTACGACGTGTACTTGACCAAACCGGATATGACGTATGTGAAGACGTCACCCAAAGAGCTGCTGCCCCTCGGGTTCTCTCCCCGCACCTTGGCTGAATACAACCGGTCCAGGAAATCCTAACCGGGCGGGGAAACTCTTAACCGGCATTGATACGTGACTAAATACAAACCATTTGGAAGATCTGATGTGTAACTCGTGTGAATGTGTTGCCTGCCCGTGTTTGGACTAGTGTGTAATGTGCTCAGGGTCTGGTGTTTCGTGTGTCTTTATACTTTATGATAGGTTCTACAACTGATTCAATCTGTGAAAGCAAGAGTTTTGTCCCTTACATTTACAATTGTTCGCCCACTATTTTTGCTACAATTATGAGATATTAAAAATGTGCAACTTGTCGTTGTTTATGTTATTTATACTTCGCTGTTTCTAGTTTAGATTCCTTTTTAAAATTTGCATTATTTGATTCAAAATTATTAAAATAAAAAAAAAAAAAATTAAAACATTGTTTTTCTTCAGGAAAGCATAAACGAATATAAACATTGAATTTGGACAAACTTTTTCTTTGTATAGAAATGAATTAATCACGTATGGGGCACAAAAGAACGATGCATACGTTTTTACGATATCTTTTGAGAATTAACCACAATAGGTAGGAAAAGTGGTTCCAAAAGTGGTTCCACTTTGTGTTGCCAGAAAGCATATTTTTGAACCAAAATTGAATATTTTATAACATTTGTGAAATAAGTAAAAATCACTTCCGGTGTTTACTAAGGCTAGAATTTTAAACACAAAATTACTAATAATATAATAGTAATTTACCAAACATTTTAATTTTAATTTGGATTAGTGTAGTCAGGGTGTTGTGGTGCAAGGGGATGTTATATTTTTTAATATAAATAAACTACTAGGCTATATTCCATTGTAATAATAAGTAAAGCGTAATTAACATCAACATTTTCATATAGGCCTTATCAATCTAGATCGACCTCTGACTATCGGGTCATCTATTAACGATGTCACAACGATGCCAGACCTCCTCCTTCCCCAAAGAAGTAAACCTAAGCCAACATTCCCCCCCGCCCCAGTTTGTTTTTAAAGCAGCGATTTTTATAAAATATTTAGACCTATGGGCTTTTCCAGCATTCAATGTAGGCCTATTGATGAATTATTTATAATAATTTATAAAACAAATTTTAATAATGCAAATAAAGGCTTAAATTTAAATTCAGTTTCTTAACATGAGTGTTTGTTGAACATGGAAATGTGTCATCTTACTTTCTGAACCCCCTCCCCTTTGACACAAAGGTCCAAATCTCCACCACCACCTCAAAGTCGTTTATAGACGACCACCTCAGCATTTTATATTTATTTATAGGATATTCATTAATTAGTCATACAAACCCAATTACATTTGTTGCTGTGATGGTATCTCTGTCATTACAATTATTAAATAGTTTATCTTAACTCAACATTTCCCCATACCTAATTTGCTATAGCTGCCTATCCATATAGAAAACATCTTTTCCTCAAATATCTGGAATGCATCTGATCAGCTACAGTCTTTTTCTTTTGTAATATATAAACAATTACAAATATGTTTATAAACTTGCACAGCCAATAACAACACATTACCAGGAAACAGGCAGTGATTATAGTTTGCTGTATTTGTGGTTTATGGTTAGTTATCAGCCATATTTCTATAAGCTTGGTCTACATTTATATGCTAGTATGGCGAGAATTGACAAAAACCCATATTCTTGATTCTTCCCTTATCATGTTTTACAGCTATGATAGATATAGTAGTTTTATTTTTAACATTGTAGAAAATTTAAGTAATAGTTACAAAATGCTAAAGTTGAAGCTTAAACCATAACATAAGATATTTTAATAATTGTTCATTTTGAACGAGATATAATAAAAAGTTGAAAATTCTAAATAAAAAATTAATGTATAATTGTTTGCAGACATTGCCCTTTTATTATTATTATAACTATAAGCAAGCTGTCTTATGGGAAAATTTTCATTCCTTATTATCTTCTTGTAATACAATGGGTTTCATATCAGCATGTTGTTTGGACTAGGAATAATATTAACAAATGATAGATTATATATTGAGATAAACTTATATGTAAATAATATTCAAATGAAAGACTTATAGTGGGACTACATATTTGTGAACACATTTGCTAAAGCACAAGTTCTTGAGTTTAAATCTTAATCCTTTAGGTTGTCTCTGATTCAAATTCAAAGCAGCTTTAACTGGTACCTGACTGATTAAGGACAGTAAAAGCTGTTTGACATTTTCCTGACCATACAATTTATTTATATGGAGAGGCAACAAAACTAGGTGAAATCTACTTCAGCACCATATTCTTAAAAACTATTTATAGTTCGCCAGTTTAAGTCAATTATTAAATTAAGGTAACAATAATTAGTTTCCGCATACACCAGCACACACAACCAGTGCTGAAAAAAATAAACATAACAAACTTTATAAATTTCTTTTTTAATTACATTCAGAACTAATATATTAAAAAAAAAGTTGTTCAATATGAACAAGTTTTCTTGGGTCCAACATGTATCCTTGGACTAGTTGGATCTAATAGGTATGTGTAGGCCATTTTCAGTCAAGCCTGACCACTGTTGAAGAATGCTGTATATTAAGTCTTCAGAACTGGAGGATTCAGTGATATGACCAGTTTTTAAAAGGAACTTCATCTGACTTATCTTCTCTGTATGTATTATCTAAAAAAAAAAACATAAATAAATTTCACAAACTGTTATATTAAACTCATTACATTTATATACTTTTAACATTTTATGGTATAAATAAAAATATTTGTCTGTCTTATACAAATCATAAAGCAATGATGGAACTATTTATGCATGGGATTGTATGGGCTATCTAATTATTACCATTCATTAAATATATAGATCTAAGAATTTCTTTTGATATTTTATTGTAAGGAGTTTGTCATTAAATACAATAGGCCTTCAAAAGTGTCAAAAGTCATGTATATATCATAAAAAAAAAAATTAAAAATGTATCAATAAAGATCTACTACTTATGTTTAGCCACCTCAAGAATTAGTTGAAAATTTATATTCAAACTAGGCTACTAAAACTATCATCAATTCATACACCTACTAGAATAAATAAGTATAATTATATTGATTTGATTAGTAAGTTAATCCATCTATGACAATTGACACCTTTTGGCTTAATTAACTATTCTGCATTTTTTTATGTTCAAAAGATAACTACAGGAGACTAAGAGTAGACTAAGTCATATATTAATTAAGTAGAACTAAAATAAGACAGCTCTTCACATGTAAGCCTACTCTTCTATCTCAGTAATTTTTACAATTATTAAACTAATGTAGATTAAACTTAAATTTTGGATATTATTTAATGCACTAGTCTGTAACCTTTTATTTAGGCTGCATGTAATTTTTAGTTTAAAATTGTAGCCTTATTAAGCTTAGTTATAGTAGTTAACTTTGTTTAACTTACATACTAATACTAACTACTTGCGCTATCACAGGCCTACTTCTACCTACTAAAACTAAAATTAATATGACAACTGTAAAAAATAAACAATACTTTATTTTTTTACAATACTATTCTAAGCCTACAGACCTACTGCTATTAAATATGAATCTATTAGTTATTAGACCAACATAAGTGATCATACGTCTAATTAGTAATTTAATAATTACCTCTAAATAGGCCCTAATTCATAATAATAATGTAACTGAACTATTCAGCAGTATTATAGCCTAAATTATCTAAAATAAAATGTATTCATTTGTGTAATAGATTGAAATAATTGTGAGGTCAAGGGAACTCACTCTTCTGTATTAGTATTATATTTATATTGTTATTTTGAGTGATGTCCCTTACATGTTGTTATCTATAAATAGTTCTCTCTCGCCACTCACTTCCTCTCTCTTGCGCATCATGGCGTCTGTAAATAAAAGGCTGTTAACACCAATGTGGCTCCTCGTCAATCCATAACATTTTGGCGACGAAGGATAAACATCTACTAGAAAGAGCACCTACTTACGCAAAAAAGAGGTTTGCTAGAGCTTATTAGCTAATTATTTCTAGAATAATGGCGCTGTATGGCCAAATAAAGCAATTTGATTCGAATGATGAAATCATTCAGGATTACCTAGAGAGGTTAAGCTTTTACCTAGAAGCTAACAACGTGACGATAGAAGCCAAAAAGAGAGCTGTTTTGTTAACAGTCATAGGGCCTCAACAATTTAGGCTACTAAAGGACTTATGCGCTCCAGCTAGTCTAAATACCAAGAGCTTTAACGAGCTGAGCAAATTGCTAACAGACCACCATGCGCCTACCCCATCAAAGTTTCTATGTCGAGCTAGATTTGACAGTAGGACTCGTCAACCAAACGAGTCAATATCAGAATATGTTGCTGCTTTATGTCATTTAAGTAGATTCTGTGAATTTGGAGAAACGCTGTCTGACAGACTATGTGAAAAGTTTGTGACAGGTGTAAACAGCCCTGATATTCAAAGAAAGTTGCTGCTCGAGTCAGATCTAAAATTGGAAAAAGCAATACAACTTGCAATGTCATTCCAGCAGTCATCAGATGCGGCGAGATCTTTAGCACCTTCAGAGATCCATGCAGTAAACAGCAGGTTAGTCAACAAACATCAACCCCATCAGAGCATTCCAACTTATGCTAAACAGCCTGCTCGTTCAAAGCCTAGATCTAAATCTAGTAATAATTATCAAAAATGTCATCGATGCAAGGGTCCCCATGCATCTCATCGGTGCAAGTTCAAGTCTGCAACTTGTTATAAGTGCAGTAAGCAAGGTCACATTGCCAAGGCCTGCTTTGCAAAGTCTTCGTCTGTTGCTAAATCTAGCCAGTCAAGACAGTACCGCAACCAAAGGCAGCACTATGTTAACTCTCACCAAGACTACCTAACCCAACCAATGAACCACTCTACCTGTGAAAATGCTCAAACTGATTCGCAGCCGGATTTCAACCTGTTCTCTGTGAAATCAATAAGTCATGCTCCCATCAATGTACTAGTTAATATCAACGGTAAGAGCATCAGCTTCCAACTTGACACTGGAGCATCTCTAACAGTCATAACAAAGAAAGATTTTGACGCTGTCACAGGAGGATCAGTGTCTCTACAGCCGTGTCACAAGTGTCTAACAACATACACTGGTGACAATGTTCCGGTAATAGGAGAGTGTATGGTTCATGTAAATTATAATGGTCAAAGTGTTAAACTTCCTCTTCTTGTGGTTGAAGGAAATGGACCGCCATTACTAGGTAGGAACTGGTTAAGTGATCTTAAGTTAAATTGGGAGAGTATTTGTTCATTGAAGAATGTAAAAGAATCTAGTCTTACT